TATTTTTCTTATGATTCCAATTATTGAATAAGCGTTCTGAACGTCTAATTCTATCAGTTAACAGAGATTTGGAAGTAAGTATGTGTGTCGAGTACATTTAAAAAGGCCGATTAAATTTATAGTTATGAATTGGAATCGTGGTGAACCGAAAGGGTCTCTCGTAATACAGGATACAATGTATTCACTATAAATACTGGGAGAATGAACTGGGTTATTATATATAGTGTTTACACTATATTTAGATTAATCAGTCATCAGAGACAGCCGACTGCAAACACCACCCGAGGAAATAAGTCAGCCAATTATCGTTAGTGATAAAATTGTTGTTACTATTTATTAAGGTCACTTATAAGTTACGAAATCACGTACACTATAAAACGATGATTCAAGATTCACGGACATGATAAGCAGGGATGATTGTAAAATATATAAGGAGCATGAACATTTAACAAGTGAACAGGACTGATTTACCCTTTTGACCGATTTAATCTTTGAAGCTGACTATTATAATTTACGTTGTTAGTTGTTATTATAAAACTGTGGGTTTGATGTGTTATCTAAAGTTAGTCAATTTAAAGTAACAAAATCCTAACTGCTAGACGTTTATTCGTTTCAACTGACCGGTATAAGTATCGAACCTGTGTAAATAATAATCAATAGTTGTAATATCAGTATTCAGTATTGTCTGTTATATAACATAATATATAGGGACCTGCAATTCTACAATAGCTCTAGGAGACTGTTGTAGAGGAGTATAATATGTTGCCCACATAGGATAGAGTTACCCTTCAGACATTTATCTATTCATTTAGACGGGTCCATGACTGGACCTAAATCTTTCACTGGTCCTATTAGTTCCCTTGGAAATTACCTTATCGGACATAATTTCGAACGGACATTAAAATTATCAACGCTCGAAGGCATTCATTTAATGTATTTAATTTATCTACCCTGTTGGACTTTATTTGAACTGATATTAAAATTAACACTAGGGCCTCCAGCGTCCAATTAATATCCGTTCAAATAAAGTCCGATAAGGTACATAAGACTCCGATTAAAGTGACGACGTCTGGGCAGGGAAGTGTTAGATAAAGCGACAAAATAATATTATTTACAGATAATGTACCAACCCGTTACTTGCATTTGCTAGTACAAATTCATCTCATTTTCAGGAGCAGCACATCATTAATTACTTGCAGTACTATTACAGTATTATTACTATTACTAATTGCAGTACTATTTATACTGACTGTGATTTGATTGTATGCTCCTGCTGCAGGTAACACAAGAAGTAGTATCTGACCGTTGAGACGTTATTAATCAGCAATCGGATCAAATTCAATCGTGATTTAGCATAGAATAGCTTTTACAATATCAATATCATGGGCCTAACTCAGTAACTCTCCTCTTCTCGCAGATATAACTCTAATTGTCTGTTCTATAGCAAGCTTACAAGTTACAAAAACAATCTCTTTGATTTATTTATTTTTCTATGACTTTCACCAATCCATGAAGTTGTATCAAGATCTTTAACAGTACGATCAGAACGCGTCATAATCAATGATATCTCTGTGTTACGCAGTAAAACAAAGTAAATGAAGGATTATAGTGAGTCAGTGTCGAACTCCAGGATTGGCACCATTTGTTTTAACAAACTTTTAATGTTCGGGAATCCCGATTTTCGGGAATCCCTGGATTTGTTTCGGTCGGGATTCCCGAATCCCGGGATTTAAAAATGAGATCAGGAATGACTTCACTGACTCAGTGATATGAATAATTATTCAAATCTGAATGATCTTATCGGCCTTGTTTTCAAATCCTGGAATCGCTCCTAAGGTATGATCGCAAATTAATACCATTAGTATATTACCAATCTTATGTTAAAACCGTTATTTTTGCAGAGGAGATTTCTCAAAATAGTTAAATTTCAGTCATCTTGAAGATAGAATTAGAACCAGAATCTGCTTCACAGAATAGTAATTATAAAGTGTGGACAGGGACAGAAAATGCAATTAATGGCAATTTAACAACCGCTGCTCACACTATAATATGTGAGTTTGATGTCGATGTCTGGTTTAAAATTACGTTCAATGCCGTCTACTTCTTTAAAGAAACTAGTAGGAACCCGTCTAACCCTAAATTGGGTTCCGTCTAACCCAAAATTTGGGGATCCAAATTTGAAATTTTAGGCACTAAAATTATTATTCCTTGGCCAATTTTTATTTTTTCATGTTGATTTGAAGGCCATTAAAGCATTTGAACCAGTCAACAAAAGTTTAAATTGTATATCATTTACGGTTTTTGCGGAAAGTCGTGTTAAAGTTGATGCCGTGGTGTCAGTAAAATGGTTCGGATAAACACATTATATATATATATATATCGTATCGCTTTATATATAGTAAGATACAGATAATTGGATTTAAACTGGGGTTTGAAGAATGTAGGGCACGAAAGTGTTAGTTCTGAATACTGACCGCAGCACAGAAAGTCTTAGTAGGATTCTCAAAGTTAAGGAGGACTAGACCCTTGTGGAACGGACTTATACGATATATTGCGGAGTGAAATACGTGTTGTGTCTTACGTTTATAAATATGAAGTTCTGGGGCAAATCATGATTTGATATTCACTTAACAGACCCTGACTGACACATTTTACAATGTGTCTGTAGATTTTGACATGATTTCTTTTGTGTACTAGGAACTATGGATTAATGTGAAGCCGTAAAACTAATATCTATGAAAACCAATCTTTATGATATTTATCATATATGTCAGCTGATTTTAACACGGTTGACGCATAATTGTCATTGACCACGTACACAACCAAAATAAAGAGACCTTACGCGCAATAAGGACAGAAACTCAGCTTAGGATTCTTTTTCGAACACCCAACTCCCGGCCAGCCTGTTGTCAAGGTAAGTAAGTTATCATGTGCTTGAGCTTATCGTGCGTTAAGTGAATTTAACAATTCAAAGGTTAGATCCACTACGTCTACATACCGATCATATTGAGACAGTGAATGAGTGAACTGCAAGAGCTGCTGTTGCTACACGTTGCCCACCTCTCGTGCACGCGAGAGCGCGATCAAAAGGGGTTGCACTTGCAGCGTGTGTCAAAGCTGCTGCAATACACTTAAATGTCATCTTATAATGCTGCGGTATTGGTGCATTAGCCGTGACGAGTCGGTTAATACCAATACCATTATCATGACTGCTGCTGGTTATCACTATAAAGCAGTAGTATGTGGTAGTATGTAGTATGTGTGCTACGTCATATGCAGTACACGGCAAAGTCAGCGCTGTTCTGTTTTCAGTGACCAATTAAGGGTTATTACTATTACTATTAAAGTATTAGACCATGATTATGTTAATAACTAAATATAAGTCCTTGAGAGAAGCAGCACAATAACGTGATATTGCTTATTTTAGGTTTCTTGTAGTAAACAGGTAGGTTTTGTGGGATCGGTTCTGGACAACAATATCAATTGTACGTTCTCCAATAATTCCTGCCTTAGATCTTTGTGAAGATTCCATTCCAGGAAAGAGTTATTTGTGATGGCGCGCGGTATATCCTTTTGTGAGCAAGGCATCAGGGAAGCCTTTCAAGAATTTAGCAAGGGAGGATCTGAAATTTTCCGAGACATTTATTGAATTAACTTCCCTGGGGAGCACGTTCACAGCTCCGATGTTTTAACTCCAAAGAGTTCTCATAGTGCGTTGAGAGAGCATGATGGCTTTTTATTAAATGGAGGCACACTAGTGGCTTTTTAATTTATTCTGTTTACAAACCAGGCAGCAGCTAAACTAGAGCTGCATTCGGAATGTTCTTTAATTGTCAAGTGATCTCTAGATTTTTAGTGATGATTGGGTTCAGTTGTCATTTCAAAGTTAATTAGATAGACTGATTGGGTTTATAATTATTTCCCTAGCTATATCTTGTCTAGGTAACGAATTAGTTAATTAGTAAGTCGAGTAAGTAAAAGCCCTTAAACTCTTCGACAGATTCAGGCAACTGGAAAATATTTAGAATTACTCGTGTGTTGCAGATGTGCACAGGTACAAAAAGAGGAATTTAAACCCAGGAGGAGTGTAGATATTGTAAGAGCACCTTTCTCAGTTTCTCTCTTACTTACGTTTGCTCCTGTCTTCTTCAGGGAGGCGACTGGTCTGTCAGGGACACTGGTCTGACCACCTTCTCAGAAAACTTAATTTATAGGCCCCGTAGTGGTGTTAAAAAATTATAAGCTAAGTTTTAAATTTTAGAGAGCTGTTCGCGCAAAGCGCGAATGGTTGATAATAGATTTTAACTAAGAACCGAGGTTGGTTTATTTAATTGTTATGACGAAAAATGTTCAATTTGGGCCCTTAAGAAAATTGAGAAATTAGTTGCTCTCTCAAAAGTTTAATTCCTCGTATATTTATTTATTTATTGTTTTACGTCGTTCTATTCTGTTATCACCAGATTTCAGTCCTGATTGCATATTTGAAATCTTTTGTTTTTCGAGGATTCCGCTTCCGCCTCATGAGCCTCCAAATTCTGTGAAATAAAATCTTGCTAAAATAACTTATTTTTTTGCTCGATTTCACTTCTATGAGAGCTTGTTTGAGGAAATTTGTAAATGTTCTGCATGAATTGTATTTGTCCTATCACTGCCTGATTTTTCTGTCTATACTCTGTTCCGGGAAACATCTACACAGACACTATAGAAATATTTTTAAATGCGTTAAATATGAATTATGCATTTTCGGGATGTTTGAAAACCGCAAAAACAAAACGCCTATACAGTGTACACTTAACATAATTATGCTCGATGGAGCGCAACAGTTAATGTGTTAAAACTTAAAAGTGAAAGCTTACTCAAAAAACATGTATTCAAGGATTTCTTAAAAAGGGGCTCACCCTTTATCTCATTTATTTTTTTTTCAGAGCCTCTCTTTGACTGATCTGCACTGCTTTACAATTAGTAATCAAAGTTTTAAACATCACTTCCTTATTACTTAGGTACATTGGTCGAGACAAAGTAAATCTACTAACTAGCTACTAAAACGATAGTGGACAATAATGCAGTCGAGATATTCAGCACGATCCACCACATGGACACGTCCTAGGGATTTCCCTCGTTCTTATTGTGGTAAGCTATTGGTAAGAAATTGATATGAAATAAATACTTAATTTTACTTACTAAGCAATGTATTTTAGTTCGTGGTTTTTCTATGGGTTGTATAATCACCGATTACACCTAATTGTCACGGACGGCCGACTTTATATAAAAAATAATGTCATTACCTATGTCAACGGCATCTCACGTACAGTATACATTATATCTATTTAACAAAGTGCTAACGATACTTCACGTTTACATATAGAGAGTCTATATATATTCGTTAATTGAATTTTTAAACGTTACGGCCATTATAAACGGTTTTTACGTTTCTGTTCTTGTTCGTTCGCACGTGATCTGGAAACTTCGCTTATTGTCCAACCGCGAACACGTTACTAAAATCAATCATTTAAATTGACTTAGTATGAACCAATATCTGATTAATTGGTACTTCAAAATCTAATCAAGACGTCCAGAATTCTTTGACGTTAACAATTTGTGTTTTATTTCAACTTCACTGCTATTAGAGCATAGTGCTGATAATATCACTAATCGATAGTTGCCTTTTCGTTAACTTTAAGTACTTCATCATAATATGCTGACATTAACTATTAAATCGCTGTGCAGATCAAGGCCATACCAATACAATCTGCACTTAAGGATGACGATATATATCTAGATATAAGTCAAACCTGCCCAAGCTAGAGAGCCATGGTAGGGCCAGCAAGCAAGACCCGGACCAAAACAAACTGAGCCACCTGGGTATAGAAAATATCAATATGGAAACAATATTAACAATAATAAAAGGATATAGAAAGTATTAAGGAGGGACAAACCGGGGCCCCTCCAAGGGCCGAAGAGAAAGGTGATCCTGAGTGTTGGATCTTCTTCTCTTCTTCTTTATTGAGAGTGGACGTGGATATCCAATCTTGTTTGCTACAGGGGGTTCTGTTCTTGTGAACGTATAGTCCTGTGTATTGAAGGGATTATAATGGCGACCATCAGTTATACAAATGGATGCAAGTCATTAGTTATAAAAAGGTCGACAAAGGGGGGGGGGGGGGGTAGAATCGGGTTAGCGGTAATATGGATCATCTCCCTCATTCAAAAACAGCAAAAGCTGAAACAGGAGCAAAGGGGGTACGTAAACTGGTAGCTAAAGTAACTGACCTTTAGAGTTTGCATGTGTCTCTATGGTACTGGTCGCTAAGCACCGTGGTGGCGGCCCAAAAGAAGGTGGTAAGACTGTGAGGGAGATGATCTGGCTGTTCGAACAAAAAGCTAAGGGGGATCATAGAAGTCTCGGTACTTCGAAATAAGCGCAAATTTAAGTATAGGCTTAGGAAAAGCGAGGTTGTGAAATATACCTGATTTGATGATAAAGTTACCGAACACTTGTTTCCTTGTTAGAGCGTAGGCTGGGCATCTGGTTAGGAAGTGGTTTGTAGTTTCTACATCCTCTTCACATTTGTTGCAGATGTTGGACGGTTCATTACCTGTCTTGTTTGGTTGACGATATTGGGCTGTTTATAGGGTATTTGTCCTATAATACTAATATTTGTATCTATTTGATTTTCATACAGCTAATCTTTATGTCGATCTTATTATCAGTTGATATTATTGACGTGTCATTTGGTAGTGCTAGTTATAATAGTGTGATGCTCTATATATAATATAGTGTGACGGTTGTTAATGATAAATAATACGATATCGCTGTGGTAGGGAGTGAGGCGTGCGTATTATATTTTAATTTGAATACTTCTGTCTGAACTGTGAGCCGGGAGACTTGAATTTTGAAAGAAAGATACTATCAAATAAAGTGTATTGATTGTGATCGATCAGTGGCTCCTAGATAAGGTCTATGTATTTTATTTCTCGATGTCCTAACTCTAAGTTTGTTTAGTAGAAGAATCGGATGGAGATGTCAATTGGTGATATCACCATGGTGGTATATCAGCAGTCTTTTAACATTGCTTTTGTCAAGGTATACTTGTCCCCTAATTGGCGTCTTTTCCTTTCGCAAAATTGCTGGGAAGACGCGGCTTGACTTTAATTTTTAATGAAGATTTGGTATTCGACTTTTAATACGGCATGAATAGAAAAGTGGTTGTTGATATAGTTCAGTGCAAACTTTTGGAGAAAATACTTACGACAATTCCTGTAAATATTCCTGACCATCATAATCATAGCAGATTGGGTAAATTTCGCGTTTTACACATTTTTAACGAATACTTGGTTTTGACGGGTAATAATTGGATTTGGCACATCCAAGCGCATGCGGCGTGAACGCAGTGTAAATACGTTTGGGTTGTATATTTGTGATGCGGCATAGTTTTATGTGAAAATTCTTAAATGTTCTTGAGCCGTTCTTAACTTAATTTGTTCTCTTAAATCCTTTTGACGCACTAATTTCGTTTAATACTATTTTCAATCATGAACAGTAGTGTGTACTGTAATATTTTTAGCTGGTAGTCTCAAATATACAAATTTAGACGCATTAATGTACTTCAAAACACGAATGGATGCACGGTTGAGATATAATGTTTGTATCTGTATCGTTATTGTTTAATTGTTTATCTCCAATTTTTACGACGCAGTTATTTTTATTTTTCGTAGACGATATAAATTGGTTCATAGATCACAAATTGCTGAATAAATGGTACCGTACAATACTAAAACTTTTGTCCAACGCAGACAAAAGATATGATGATCGAGTTATGTTTTTAATCAAACCAGTGAGACCAGATTGATAGCACAGTGCACAATGGACGGGTTTTTCGGGAAAGCAGGTCAAATTATATACGAGTTCTAATCTAAAAACAATTTGTACATATTGCGTTCCACTACCACGATTTTTTATTCTATTGTGTTATTTGTGGGTTACTTACACTATGATAACAGTAAAACAATATTGCTTCACAGCTTTAACAGCTGTTATACTAATAGCGACAAGAGAAACGTCATTGTCGGACGTGAGGAGAGTGAGGACTCCTCAAACTACATTAAATTTATTCCTTTTGTAATATATTTAACGTCCTGAATAAATATAGTTTATAAACTACATTTATTCAGGACGTTAATAATCTATCATATAAACATAATGACGTCATCTAATTTCTAAATAATGACGTCATCTGATATCTTTTATATTTGATTACATCTAATGGTGATGATGACACAAGTATCGATATTTCACACTCTACCTTTAATTAGGTTAATTCCATCTAAGTAAAACTGTTCTTAAAGCTAATTGTTTAATTTTTGCTTGATACAGAGCTGCGGCTCGTGGGAGCTGGCTGGCAGTTGTGTCGGTCGTCCAATCGACGGACTCGGTGGGCTTGGGGCGCTTTGATATGATTAAACTGGTGATACATTTTAAAACTTGATAATTTCAGGTTCGGCAGCAAAAAGTGGGCTTGGAGCGATGCGCCAGGGGGCAAGCTCTAACTGGAATAGGGTACAACAGAAAATGGATATACCAAATGTGAAGAAACCTGAACTTGAATTTAGGTAAATCTATAAACATTAAACAATAAATAAATCGGCTCAATTCTTTTATTATATTTTGACTTTTTTGTTTATTTTCTGGGTATCCCAGAATTAACTAATATGTTGACATGTTTGTTGACAGTTAGTAGTGTTAATAAGCTTATGTTAATTAAGTGTTGATAAACTGAAAAGTAAAAATTATTAGTTTACACGTATGGTTAATTTTGGTCTACCCTCAATTTAAGGAAAAATACAAATAAGCGCTAACACCTCAAACTTAGAATAGGGTAAAATAATTAAAAACCTGGCGGAGTTCAATTTGATAGGTGTAAAATTCCCACTCGCTCCTCTCTTCATATTAGCCAGACTATTGCTAACTTATACGGAGTATTTTCAGAAAACTGGTGATGCAGCTTACTAACAAGAGCGGTGGAAGGATAGAAGCCATGGAGAGGAGACTCACTAAGCGAAACATTGCTCCAAGACCCAAAACTGAGTTTGAGCTCATGAAAGAAAGTTAGTGCTGTTATAAATTAATCACTTCCCTCGACAAACAGTCTACAACTGAATTACTTAACGAAACCGCTAGAAAATTCTTAGTAAAAACGTTTATGGCACCTTATAAAAACCTTATAACCTTATAAGGCGAATACAAATCGTCCTTTACAATTACTGCATTAGAATACATTAATGTTTAAACATGCATACTGAGCTGCATAGATTTAATAAATAACTTGTTTTTTAGGACTCAAGCACGTTGAATTTAGTGATGAAGAGAAAGGCTTTTTGACCAAAGACCAGATGGAAACAATAACTCAGAAAATAGGAGATGCCAAGAAATCGCTTATGGAACTTGAACGAGAGGCGAAATCTAAAGGGAAACAATTAAATACTTATATCCTCGATTACAAAGAGTATGTTTGCCGCTTAAGTTTTTCTATGTATTTGTTTTCCATTTTAAAATGATATTTCTTCCAGTAAAATATCTTTAAATCCTAGATTTATCTACTATTATATATTTTAGTTGGTCAGAAGAGGTCGAGTTTCTGAGGAGTTCTGGACTTGGTATAGACATGGACAGCCTTCTTCAAGCCCGAAAAAGAATCCTGGTTAGAGATCTCTTCTACGATCCCGAGGAAGCCGAGAGAAGGCGACAAGCTGCAGAGGTTTAACACTTCACGCTTGTTTAATCCATTGACTTATTAACTATAATTGCCTGTGCCATTGATATAATATAATAAGCTGGTGAATAAATTTAGTATTTAAACCTCCTGATTTAAGCGATGGTCAGAAATGAGTAACCTAGGTCGCTACAACTTCATCCCATTATGAAATGAGTGGAGTTAACAAAGTTTCCCTCCAGTTAGCGGCCAAGCTGGCAAAGGAGCGAGTAGAGGCTTTAGAAAGAAAGAAAAAAGAGGCCGAGGAAGAGAAATTGAAAGCTTTAGATGCTGAAAGAGAACGCCTTAAAAAAGAACAGGAGGAGAAAGAAAGAAGGTAAATTCAACTCGCCTATAATCATTTTATATTATCTGCGTATGTGATTCAAATTTAAAACGTTTAGTTGTAGGCGTTCCGTGTTGTCCGAAATATTATGGATGCCTCCATTCAGAATCGTTTTTGTCCAACCAGCTAACTACTGTTTGCTTTGAGATTTCAAAAGTTTGAAAGCAAGCAGTAACTGGGTCTGACATTCAGACATTAAATTTTGGGCGGGACAGTTTAGTTTCGTATGGTCCATTCACTTCAACAGTAACTTAGGTCCAATACCTGATTTTGCGTGAAGAAGCAGATTCTCTGATTATGTGATTCAAATTTACAAGTTTAGTTGTAAGCTTTGTTCGACTTCAAGATAAACAGGGGGGCGGCCATAAGTTAGTGTGGAAACGTTTGGACTTATAACTTAGAGCTGGTCATTGTTCATGATCATGTTTAAGACTTGTAAATTTGCAGATGGCATACTGTAACTACTAATTCAAGACTTCTCGCGGTCCATTTGTTCAACAATAACTTATATCCAAACCTGATTTTTAGATTGCGTGAAGAAGAAGAGAGAAAACTGGCAGAAAACCGAAGAGAAGAAGAAGAAATCGAAAGGTATACCACTTTTGCTTAATAACAATGAAACGTTATAATTTGTTATATTTTCCCAGATTAATTCCTCAAAGAAATAGATCTATGAAATTGAAGAGTTTGGTCTATCTGCTGATAAATTGTTCAGGTATGCAGAGCAGGAGAGGAGGAAATTGGAATTAGAGAGAATGAAAGGAGCAAAACAAGAAGAAGAAACCAGAGCTAAGAGAACTGGGCTACTGAGAAAGTTCTCTACCACCGATATAATTCCAGTAGGGCGTCTTTAATTAGTTAGCGTCTCTTTAATTAGTTAGCGTCTTTAATTAGTTAGCGTCTTTATAATTAATTAGCGTCTTTAATTAGTTAGCGTCTTTAATTAGTTAGCTTCTTTAATTAGTTAGCTTCTTTAATTAGTTAGCGTCTTTAATTAGTTAGCCGGTTAGCGTCTTTAATTAGTTAGCGTCTTTAATTAGTTAGCGTCTTTAATTAGTTAGCGTCTTTAATTAGTTAGCGTCTTTAATTAGTTAGCGTCTTTAATTAGTGAGCGTCTTTATAATTAGTTAGCGTCTTTAATTAGTTAGCGTCTTTAATTAGTTAGCGTCTTTAATTAGTTAGCGTCTTTAATTAGTTAGCGTCTTTAATTAGTTAGCGTCTTTAATTAGTTAGCGTCTTTAATTAGTTAGCGTCTTTATAATTAGTTAGCGTCTTTAATTAGTTAGCGTCTTTAATTAGTTAGCCGGTTAGTGTCTTTAATTAGTTAGCGTCTTTAATTAGTTAGCGTCTTTAATTAGTTAGTGTCTTTAATTAGTTAGCCTCTTTAATTAGTTAGCGTCTTTATAATTAGTTAGCGTCTTTAATTAGTTAGCGTCTTTAATTAGTTAGCGTCTTTATAATTAGTTAGCGCTTATTAGTAGCGTCTTTAATTAGTTAGCGTCTTTAATTAGTTAGTGTCTTTAATTAGTTAGCCTCTTTAATTAGTTAGCGTCTTTAATTAGTCAGCGTCTTTATAATTAGTTAGCGTCTTTATGATTAGTTAGCGTCTTTAATTAGTTAGCGTCTTTAATTAGTTAGCGTCTTTAATTAGTTAGCGTTGACTTGAAATTTTAAGGTTTTGTTTCAATCTTTTGCTTATGTTCCAGTCTTATGGTCATCTCTGTTGTTTCCCAATTATTGTATATTTGAAATATCAAGTTGACGTTTCAGCCTGAAGGTCCAGATGTCGGTAAATTGAAATTCGAACAGAGTGAAAATGATCAGAAAGGTCGTCGTAGGTCAGTTGGTAAACTAAACAATCCTTTCGAAGCAGGACTAGAAACTCAAACCAAAACACAAAAACAGAGGGCCAGACGTGCTAGCAAGGTTACATTACCACTTATTGTAATTAAACAGAGTGAAAACTCTCATTTTTCCTTCGTAAACCGTTTCAATCTTCATTGCATTTAATTTCCCATTTTCCCAATCTATGACTTTTGTTTCTCATATAATTTAACTGCCGCAGTTGGTCTATAAGTAAACCTCTTTATCGTCAGGTAGGAAAGTTGAACAGTCCATTCGAGGCAGGCATATCAGAAAACGAGGGACCTAGTTGGAGCAAAGCCAGTAGTCGAAATGCCAGTCGAGGTTGCAGTAGGAGGGTTAGTTGTCTTGAAATTCTTAGGGTTGCAGTAACCATTTTAGCTGTTTTGGTATAAGTTGCAAAAGTTTTTGGTATAATTTTTACAAAATCACAGAAGTATTACAGAACCCATTTGAATTTTGGCCTTTGGGACTGCAAGTACCAAAGTTTGTTAGAGATCTTATTATTATCATATGATAAACCATTCTCATTTCTCAGGGGTCGAACACCAACATTGAAACAACACCCTTTACGCAGCAGCCCGATTTTATGGAGGTAAATCACGAATTGTAATGAGCAGTTCGTATCATATTCTTATCTAAACCTGGCGACTGCGACGATTCATTATTATATCCATACTTTCAATCCATTTCAAGTACTTTAATTGTATATCAACAAGTCTCCTTCGATCCATTAAATTGTGAATTAACTCAAGTGTGATATACAGAGTATATCTTATGGAGATAATATATCTTAGAGTATATCTTATGGAGATATCAAGATAGATATCCTAGTTGGGACTTGAGTACAATTGAAATCTTCCTGAAGTATTTTGCTACACAGTGCAATAAATATTTAAATTAATGATTATATCCCAGAAAATGACACTCTCCCATCAGATCGTTTTTTTTTCAATCACAATATAAGTATAAATTTAAACTTTAGTTTGCAAGTTGCTTCTATACTATTAGAGTATTATATTCTTGCAGATTTAGTAAAGTTCAGACAATGATTGCTTTATTAAACTTAGAATTATGATCTTTGATTCCCAGTTAATCTTTTGTGCGTTATAATAATCAACCATAGATCCACGAACTGTCTAGTCCCTTGACGATTATTAATCGCCTTCGTAAGGTCCTAACATTGAATACAGCATCTTCAGGCGCTGGCGGGTCTGGAAGACCTTGCTGCTCGAGCAGCTGAAGCGTTCAATGACGACTAAACTCGAACGAGATGTAAGGAGCATTGATAACAACCATTCTTATTTTTCGAACTGCTTAGGGATAGTTCACATATTCCGTCTGCAAATTCTCACGCTATTACGGAGGGAAGAGATGTTAGATGCTGATTGCTGCTTAAAAAAGAGGAATGAGACAATAAGTTGCTGACGTCATATGTGAACGCTTTTTTGTTTTAGTTACGTCGCACATGCTACCGCGACAAAAATTATTGATTTATGATTTTTACTGGGTCATTTAGGTCCAAACAAACAGTACATTAGAGTAAATAGGGATCTGTGTCTTATAAAAACCCATTTTCAAGCTCTTGTTCGTTTTGTGGAACATGTGCTTTTGTTTATTCTCTAACTTGAATGAGTTTTCTAGGGGCCACTGCAGCCGTGTTAACTTTAGGAGGTTTGTGTCAATATACTTGATGTGACATTATGTTCCTAGATATTATGCAATAGTTATATCTTTATATTATTATAGTTATACGATAGTTATGTTAGATTTCAAGTCGCAGTTTTTATTCAAATTTTCTTTTATTGATTATAATACATTTAAATTTTAATGGCAGCTTATTTCTAAACTATTTCCAAATGTACCGTTTCTTCAAACTATTTCCAAATGTACCGTCTCTTCAAACTATTTCCAAATGTACCGTCTCTTCAAACTATTTCCAAATGTACCGTCTCTTCAAACTATTTCCAAATATACCGTCTCTTCAAACTATTTCCAAATGTACCGTCTCTTCAAACTATTTTCAAATGTACCGTCTCTTCAAACTATTTCCAAATGTACCGTCTCTTCAAAATATTTCCAAATGTACCGTCTCTTCAAACTATTTCCAAATGTACCGTCTCTTCAAACTATTTTGAAATGTAATCACCGCTAATATAGTTGTCCATCTATGAAACCTAAAAGAAAAATTAATCATAGTCCGTATTTGAACTTGTTGACAATGAACCTCATGTCCTTAAATTCAGTGAGAGTGTCAGATCCTTTGTACCCACTCACAACCAGATTAGCTCCCTTCTCGACAGCCCCTGTCATTTCAACGCTTGTCACGTTTCCCTCAACTTCGATCAGTATCTTTTTGTTCAGCTTCCTCACTTCCGCCACCTAGATTCACATTTAATTGAATAAGGATGGAATTATAAGGTCAATTGGAGGCAATGAATTCGACTTTAGAGCGAGAAAATGTCACACAGCTAGATAATAATTGTTTAAAAATATGTCGGATACTACATCTACTTCTATCGGCTACCATGGAATATGGATATGCCAGTCTGGTACCTTATTCAACATGACAGGGTTGAAGGGAACTTCGTCGTCACAGGGATCTCCACATGAGATGTGAACCATATCCAGATCAGAGATGATTTCCTTTATCGAGGACACCTCCTGCTCCTGGGATAGACCAACTCCCACCTGGTATTATAAAGGTTGCTTCATTTGAAACTGAGTTTTCCGAGATTAACAATTACATCAAAGTCTGCAAAGCGACTGATTTGTGATTAGCCATAATTGAATTATGGCTGATAGCAAGTCAATTTGTGATAATTCGGGCCATTCGCAAGATGATGTTCATTAGTTGGTATGTAAGAAACGCAATGATTTGGCTCGTTTTAATTGAATTTCAAGCACATTAATTTTAAACAATTTACCTTCATTCCTGACTCCCTGATTTTTGCGATGAGCTCACCAACTGAAGAACTGTCTGTTTTCTCGATTTGGAACACAAAACAGTCACACCCTGACTGGGCAAACTGCTCGACAAACCTGAAGTGTCGTTTAATATCAAGTTGCCCCCCCCCCCCCCCCCCTTCCTCCAGACAGTGTGGTTAAATTGAGGGATCTGCCCCTTGAATTCACTCGAGGATGTAGGAGCGACAGCCCATATCCTGCATTATTATACCGAGCAAGTGTTTACACATTCCAGAACTAAGCAAAACTATCCAAACTGTAAATTTAGACCATCAATTACCTTTCTGGGTTGAGGACGAGCATGTGGCAGATTATGACCCTGTCAGGGAAATGTTTCCTGACCCCCTCCACCACAGGAGAGCCCACACTTATGAGCGGTCCGTAGTGACCGTCCTGGACGTCAAAATGGAAGTAGTCAGCTCCTGATGACATGGTCTCCTGACATGGTTTAACCAGGTTTCCCATATCGTAATTCAGCACGTCCATACCCACCGCGTAGGGGGCCTTTTTAGACTCCCACCAGTTCACCATCTCTCTTCGACTCAATACAAATAGTAATACAACTAAAAGGACTGTAACAAAATTTTAGAAATATAAACCAATATGTAGAATAATAATATCAGTTGTTTACACCGGTCAAAACATGAAGACTTTTATGTTTCCACCGAGCGTGACTGCAGTAGAATGACTATGAGATGTAGAAAGTGTGATGTAAGCAAAAAATGAATTGATCAGGAACATTTTGAATTAAGACATATTACTCGATGGGCTGTACTGCCGTTCCCTGAGAAAAGGCAGTAAGTCCATCTGAGGGAACTTTTTCTGTTCCCTGAGAAAATTGCAGTAATAGTCCAGACTTTATTGGCTGTTTTTATACTTTTTGGCCTATACATCCACAGTTTTAGTTATATCGAAATAATTTTTATGTGGTCGTAATCAGCTCAGCAAGAAAATTGTATTACTAATATTTTAAAATTTAAAGAAATGTTATTTTCAAAATTTTTGATCAATTATTGTATGTTCAAATTTTCTTTCCAAACTAATGCGTCTGACCGATAGTCGGATAGCCATTTTGTCAGCTTTTCGTAATACGTATGTCTATGATGTAACCGAGGGAAAGCTTCATTTATCAGAACTCGAAGCATTCTCCACAACTACAAGATAAGTTATTAGCAGTGGTGAAAGTATTATAAAAACCTATATAATGTAAACATGTTCTATGCGTAATGCGGCTAATAACTTATTATTGGCGAGTTATTAGCCGCATAGAACATTATTACATTATATATGCTTTGAAAATAGTTTCAGTGCTGGTAATGACTAACCTTGTAAATAATTATTTGAGTTCTGATAAAGCTTAATAAATAACAAATAACACGAGGAAATATGGACGGAACTGAACAAGAACAAAAACCACATTCAAAGACTGAGAGATTTAAATCTTGGAAGTATGTAGGGATCGAGATCTGATATCGATCGTAAATACTAAAAATACTCTAGCAATTGTTAATGCAGGTTTACAGAACTCTAAATGCTTAATGAATATACTATACACTAGCTGCAGGTACCACGCTTATTCACACTCAGAATTGAGTTTAGTCATTTTCCAATACGAGTTTGGGGACGGGTTCTACAAACAAACAAACAATAAATAACAAATAAACAAGCGTGGGTTTTCGTAGTTTTGTAGTGTATCTTATGTTGAAGCAGTACTATTTATTCTTAACTTAGTAATTTTATATTGCGCTCTATTACTTTAGTACTTTGGCAGAGAGCTGAAACGCTATCTGTTTGGCTGGCAATTATGTAACTGTCGATACGATAATGCCTGAGCTCTCATGTTAGATCATTGCCATTGTAGAGTATATAAGCCCTCTCCAAACAGGAAGTGTATTAATTAACTCATGCATCACAGAGCTAGTGGTATTGGATAATTGTGCTGAGTTTTTCTAAGGCTTTCTGGAGTTGGTCACTTGTCCTAAACAGAGTTCTATGCACCTTGCAAACTTAGCTCTTGGTGACTCTCTGCCAGTGGGTTTATGAACAGGGGTGTTACCATGAGAGATTCCGACTGGGAACTCTGACAATGTTTAACGATTGTTCATGTTATTCCTTCTGATGAAGTTCACGAGTCCTCAATTATTTTGATTAACTGTTGTCTTTCTTGTCTCCTACTAAATCAAAGATACTAAAGACAAAGTAAAGTGCACAACCACAAGTTAAACCTTGTAGATGTAAGATTGCCCACAAGGACGAACCTGGGAAAACAACTAAACACTGGGCAGTGCCTTTAAAGCAATGAAGACCTAAATCTTACTTACTACAGTTTTGCAAGTACCTTACAATGCTTATTTTCGGAATGTGGCTGAAAAACGGATTTTTACTGAGCAAACTGCAAACAATGATAATACTCACAAATGGGCTATTGGGCTGTTAACCATAAAGGTCCTAAAGACTCATGAGCAACATAGCAATTGGAACTTAAGATGCAAGATGACTCACTTGTGTCCAGAAACACCTAAAAAATGGAGAATTATCTACTTAATTGCGCATTTCTCTTAATGGCCAGCAGCATATTCGCGTCTAACGAAAGGGAATTTTTTAAAGTTACGGTTTCTTAAGGTCAAAGGGTCAGTTGCTAACAGCAATTTGTTCGCGATTGCCGACTCATGCACATGCATATACTAAAAAAACACTCAGTTTATGACTGATTAGTAAATAACTACTGCATGATTTGTGAAAACTTCAACAATTTTTCATTGGCGCCAATTTAGCCAAAATCTGATGACCAAAATTCAACTTCAAACTTTTAATTTATTCATGCCATGAAATCATGATATGTACCAAGAATACCGGACCTAAAATAATTCGGCACTGGATCCGGGCCAGATTGTCGCTTGACCTCTGACCAGTACCTGAGTACCCCACTTTATAATTATAATTGACTTCGCTACCTCGCTGGATATTAATCTGTAATCCCCTGGATTGAGATCTGTTGAGTGTTGGGCGCAGTTTAATTTAGCTCATTTCCTATACCGCATTGGTTTGGTTCCCACTTCAGGATGACCCCATGTTCTGTTTTTCAGTCGCATATATTTCCCATCGTATGATAATGCGTGTTATTCCCTCGTTTTTAACCAAGTGGTCACTGCATTAGCTAGCTCTTTTGTTATTACTTATTACAGCTGCACTGCCTCGAGATCTTATCTGGGGCACTACTATTAGACCTAGGAGATAAGTACCTCAGGCCATCTCAACACCGGGAGAGGTTTAGCTCGATTTAGCATACTGTGTATTAATGATACCCACTTTCTACCTAGTCGTGGGGTGAGCGTCGTCGACGTTCTGCTAAGGATCCCATAGGATTTATGCAGCCTCCCGGTCCACCCAGCCGAATGCTCGAGAAATCGTGTGTGAGGGTTAAATGGGGAGCTGTGCAATATAGTAAAAACTCAATGGATTGTTACCGTAATGGGTGCCACATGCCTAGCATGAAATATTTATCTACTTACTTGCACTTGTGTAGGTCCGTAGAACTGTAGAAGCATTAGAATCGGGCGTTGCCTGCCACAGGCTATCCCGAATTTAGAAGCTTGCTTTCATCATCATCATCATATTGTGTATTAATGAATATAATACTATCAAAACCTGCGTGATCATTGCAGCGGCATTATGATTATTATGTTGTAATAATTATGTTTTCAGTTATTACCTTTTCATTTTCTATATTTTCGGTTATGACGAACATATTTTGTTGAATTTGGAAAAACTTGCTGTCAAAAATTATGACTAGCTTCAATCCTGTTACAACGATCATTTCAGTTATGTATTCTAGTTCTGTATAAAATGCGAACAGACAACAAGACACTTTACGCAATAACAGATGACCGGGAACGATGTATTTTCATCTTATGGAGCTTTGTTACTCTTTTGGCTTCCCTAATTGGGGACGGCATCATTCTAGTAGCGACTATAAGATACAATGCCATCAAACTTCAGAAGGTTATCATAGCGGTGATGCAGCACATGGCTACTTGCGACCTTTCACAAACTGTGTTCAAAGTATTCCCAATCACTTTGGCATTCATCACAGACCGCTGGGTGGTAGGAGAACTGCTTTGTGAAGTTTCAGTACATATGGGCTGGGTTTGTAGTGGTGTGACCCTGTTCCAAACTTGCACTATGACAACCCTTAAGCTGATAATCTTGAAATACCCCTTGAAATCCAGAAACTGGTCCTCACGGTTCGGACACAAAATCTGTATTTCAATCTGGCTCCTAGTAGCGGGTTTTTACTCTCCAACACTTATGGTGACGATTATCTATCTCAGAAATGATGTTCACTTTAGTTATGAAGGATATACTTGTAACTATGGTTACAACTCACAAAATCTCCCATCATGGTACAAATGGTATTTTCTGATAACATTCCCTGTCGTTAACGCTCTCGCGTATATAGCCGTCATAGTTACATCAATTACTGTTCTGGTTGTCGCCAAAAAGGCAAGCTCCCAGCACGGACGAACATTGCGGTGGGAGGGGGTGATAACAGTGCTGCTAACAGTGGGAGTCTTGTTACTTTCCACTCTGCCGTTCATTGTTGCATTTATAACTTGGTTCCTCGGAGCAAAGCATGGCACTGGAGTGTGGCGAACAGTTAATTTAGTGCAGTACCTCAACATAATGGCTAACTTCTTTATATATTCCATTACAGTTAAGAGTTTTAGAAAGTTCTTAAAGCTGAAGATTTCCCAAATCATGGTGAGAATATTTACTCGACGAACACAAGTAACCCCTGAACTAGCAGCACCCATTCAAATGCAAGTTACCACTCAAGAACTGGGAAGTGAGTAGCAAGATGAAGCAGTACAACTACAAGAATGGGGTGCTGAAGGACACGATCCCTGCAAGGGATGGCCAAATCACGCTGTCACCATGGTTGGATACAACGCTGAATCCTTCGCTATTAAAAAAGTTGGGGAGGACACTGGGGTGACGGAGGTTACGTTCACATATGTCCCGAAATCACTACAACTGCAAACTATACGAGTTCACTATTTGACGGAGGCCAATCAAAAATGGGAAAAACAAGTACGAAATGAAATTCTACACTCAGAATAGTTAGGACTCGGAAGAATAAGACGCACCAAACCATAGAAATCCACCAGAAAGATTTTGAGCAAACCATGAAGACCGTCCACAAAGATACTGAGCAAACCATGGAGAACCTCCACAAAGATACAGAGCAAATTACCACAAAGATACCGAGAAAACCATAAAGACCCTCCGCAAAGATACTGAGCAAACCATAGAGAACCTCCACAAAGAT